AACAATCGAGCGTCGCCTGACTTGGAAAGAACGAGTCTTGCTGCCAGACCTCCTAAGATTGCTGGTGTCCACTACCGAAACCCAAGAAAGCTATTAACCTCTGGAGGTTTGTAACACCAATACCAAACCACCATTTCATGATTTGTCTAATGACTTCTATTGTTTCTAGAATAGCCAGCCCTGGTTTGTGAATCGTAGCCTCAAATCTGTACTCTCATCCTTTATCCCAATACACCTGTTTATCTCTGATTCGTTCTCTTTACCTCTCTCACTTAATAGTTCTCACCTCCTTCAAATACTCTACTAATACAGAAACATGCTAAGTTTCTTCCCAGATCTAACAGCATGAAATAAAAGTATGGAGACAGGCACAGCCTAGGTTTAGAAGAGAGGCTTCTTGTGCCCTTTGTTTTGCAAGGACTTCTTCACCTTCATGTTGCCTGGCCCTTTGGTCAAACCTGGAAGAGCCAAGCTGAGCCAGCCCTCTCCACCCTAGCTAGAGGGAACCCAGAAGAAGGAAGGCAAAGTGCCTACAGAGGTCAATCAACATCCCCACAGCAGGACCCATATATACCTGCAGACTACAGGCTCCCTGTCCTCGGTGGTCATCAGCTCCCCACACGCCCTCTTCTTATAAATGTTCCACAGGCACCCACTCTGTGCTTTATCCCAATCCACCCCATCTTTCAACCCATCATTCAAGTTCTACTGCTCCTGAAAAGGCTTTGTGACTATGACAACCTGTACACCCATGAGCTTCACCTCCTTAGATCCACAGTACTTCCTGTCTGTATTATCCACTTGGCATGTAAAACAGACTTAGATTTTAACATATGTGCACTTTATTTTCCCTATTAGATGGCAAACTGAGGGCAGAATTATTTTCATTAGCCCAGTACCACCTTTCACATAGTAGAGATGCTATAACAATTTATGAATTAATGTGGAATAAAATGAAGCGACATTGCTTTCTCCAGCATAGATCTTAGAGGGAAAAATCTCAATCTTAGTGGAAATAATTAGGCTTCCAATATTGCATATTCTCTTGAGTGTATGTGTGCCTGTAGTTTCGTGTTTACAGCAAAGTACTGTGAGTGGAAGTCCAGGGACAGATTCTATTGCAGCCACGCTGCCATTCTGCCGCTTGCATATTTATGAAAAATTATCCTTTCAGGATGAAATTTTCCATGACTGGCTTTGGATACAAAAGAAGGATGTTTCTCTCTCTTTTTTATTCTTTTGGAAAATTTGAACAATATCCAGTCAGCCATGTAGAAGCTGGGCATTAGTGAAAAAAACAATGACATGTTTTGTCTTTCAAAATCAATGTGAGCCTTTCTTTTGCGTGACCAATTAAAAAACAACTAACTTCAAAATGAGAAACTTTCCACTTATAGGCCTCTCCAAGGATGAACCTGGGTGATAATAGAAGATAATGGAATGGAAACAGAACACAAACAAAATCAATATGTATCTCTTCATTATACTTGCTTTAAGTTTCACAGATTCCCAAAGTAGTGTGCCTCTTCCCATGACTTCTAAAATTGAAAAATGCACTGTATTTATGAAGTCACAGTCCACTGAGGCTGAGCTAAGGCTCAGAGAAATGAAAAAAAAAAAATCCAGATAATTACAGGATAAACTTCTGGACAGAAAATAATTTAGTTATCTTGAAAGAAAGGTTCCCTCCAAATTTTCTCAAAATAGAGTCATTTGCATTCTAACCTCTTATCTATAAAATGTCCTCACATAATATTATTTTTAATACACTGAATCATGTGTGCATATGCATTCTATGCCCTTACAACTGGAAAAAAGTTTGGAAATTAGTGGTTACCTTAGCTAGCCAAAGCATTTTTACTTTGCCAACAGCAGTTGCAAAACATTTGCAATCTGCAGAAGGCAACAACATTGAAGTAATTTTTAAATTACTGATCCCTCACTAATGTCACCAAAATTACATATCACAACCAGTAACAAATGCCAAAATAAGATTTAAAATCTTAAAATACTTAAATTTTAAGTATAGTTTACATTGGCCAGGTATGGTGGCTCACACCTGTAATCCTAGCACTTTGGGAGGCCGAGGTAGGCAGATCACAAGGTCAGGAGTTTGAGACCAGCCTGGCCAATATGGCGAAACCCTGACTCTGCTAAAAATACAAGAATTAGCCGGGCATAGTGGTGGGCACATGTAGTCTCAGCTACTAGGGAGGCTGAGTCAGGAGAATTGCTTGAACCGGGAGGCAGAGGTTGCAGTGAGCCGAGACCTTGCCACTGTACTCTAGCATGGGTGACAGAACGAGACTCCGTTTCAAAAAAAAAAAACCAAGAAAGTTTACATTATATAAAAACGGTATCATACATCTTGAACGTATTTGAACATAGGTAAAATATTAAAGGTTTATAAAAGAAAGCCCAGAATATGCAATATTTTAATATGCAATATGTATTCACATATGCACACAACCAGCTTCCAAGAAAACCAAAAAGAAATTGATGAGAAAGGCAGAGAAGCCAAGTGAGTATAAATTCCCTTGTTACAACAAAGTTTTCCCTTGGCTCAGCATAGAACCACCAACTTGTTTGATTGGGTTCTAAAAGGTTCCTCGGCTCTGTGTAAAATCAAGTTGATATTTACATCACAGTGGCAGAGAAAAGGGCAGGAAAAGTTACTGATGTACTCCTACAAGTTCCCACTACCTCTCCAGACCTTCCGTGGTATCCTGGCCTTTCCATTGTCCTCATCACTGCCCATCTGAAATGGTTGTGTCTCTGAAACAGTATTTCCCACAGTGATCTAAAGCAGCAGGCTTTTAAGCCAGAGCCCACCCAGCCAATAACACCCAACCACAAGCCAGATTATCTTTACCAGGCTAAATATCTAAAGCAGTTTCCTCATGTTCAAATCCATCTCTAGTCCAGCCCACAGGGTGATACAATTTGAATCTGATCAGGTATTTCCCTGCTTAAAAGCCCTTCACTGACTCCTCCATCCCTTGCAGAATAAAGCCCCAACTCTAGGGTTGCTATTCACCTAAAGTGGCCTTCTGTGATTCCAGGGTTAAATTAGAAAGAAGGAAGGAAGCAGGGAGGGAGGAGGAGAGGGAGGGAGATAGATGGCAGCTGACAACATCTTACTTGTCCCATGCCCCCAACCTACTCCCACCCCCCACTGTACTTCACAGCAGTCACACTAAACTATTTCCTGTTTCTCCTTCAGATCTCTGCTAAAACGTCACCTTTTCCCAAAAGGCTTCCCCAACTCCACACATCTAGTTTGGTGCCCCTTTTGGGTAGTCTGGGGGCACACCACCCCTTTGGGGTACTACGTCATAATTGCCCATTTGAGTATCTATCCCCCAATTGGAGCATGAGCCCTCTGAGATTAGGGTCCCTATCTAGCCTGTTCCTGGTTACATCCCCAGGGCCTAGCTTGACGGCAGGGGCTCCCTAATGATTTGTTGAATGAATGATCTAGAAACCATGAAGAAAAGAGGAAAGGAGGGAGACCCTTCATGCCTCCTTCCTTCCCCAGCCAGCAGTGACTGACCACAGAAGGCTAGGCCTGCACAGCCTTTACTCGCCTCCTCCTTGGAACCTGAGCTGAGCTTTCTATTACTCTCTCCATTATCACAGCCTTTCATCACAATGGGGCAATATGTGTGTCTGGTCAAGGATGCAATAGGCAACGGTGTTTGCACGGACTAGGCCGTTTCCAAGCATGGATCAGAGTTTATATCCCAGTAGAACCATCCTGCTCTCTATCCATACTCTAGTCTTATAAACTTAGTTTTCCTGTTAATGCAAAAATAGAATCCTTATTGATGTCATTCTGAACCGCATGTATTAAGAGAGGAAAAGGCTCTGTATCCTTGAAGAAAGTATTAAAATGTTCAAATTGTTTTGTTGTACTTGTTTCAGTTTAAAAGATCTCTTTTGCAGAGCAACACTTCAATCACTAAGTACTTCATTATGAGGCAAACAGTTACAAGAAACAGTCTGTGGAGGGAACCAGCACAGGTGAGCAATGGAGGGTCAACAGAGGCAAACGTGTGGCAGAGAAGCAGCAGGGGCTTCCATCTTGAGACCGGGAAACTTACCACTGATAATAACCATGCAGTGACACCCCTAGTGAAGCCATCCCGGAGGCTCCCTGTATTTCCCAGGACCACGAAAATTCCCTCACTCCCACGGTAAACAACTTCTCAAAACAGACAAACGAAAAAAAACAAGTCAAGCATTGGTGTCCATGAGGCCATGATTTTAGAGCCAATGTAGAAAACCAACGTGGAGCTACCAGCAGGGACCGTGGCTGCTTGTGTAGAAGCCTGGAGTGGAGGCAGCAAGTGTGAGGAAGGGGAGTGAAATGCTGAGATACTTCCACAGCCAGAATTGACCCCTCCCCACCCATCCACGCTGCCAGATGGAGCCTTCCCGGTGGAAGGCTGCCTTCCACCGAGGTCAGGCCCATCTGTGAGCGGAGGGCTAACTCCCCGGAGACCCCTGGGAATTCCGAGCAGTGCCAGCCAACAGGCAGAGACCTGAACTCTTCTGGCATGACCTTGGGCCCAGTACCTCTCGCCTTCCCTCCTCCCACCTACAGAGATTAAAGATAACCCAGCCAAGCAGCCTGGCATGCTGAAAAGGAGCAGGGCTGGAGGGAAATGAGGAGGACCAAACCGGGAACTGCACCACTGAATCTCCTCAAACCACATGGACCTTAAAACTCGTCAGACCGGTTTAAAATTAGCCAATACCCAGGAAAGTAATTCATTAAATGCAACTGTTATGATTCATTTAGAAGTCACTCCAATTCTGAAATGATAAATGACAGTGCATTTATATATACGTGACAGTGTATTCATCTCCCACAGCTGGTTACAAGTGCCCTCGCTGCTCTGGAGTAAAACATGAGCCACAACCAAGGCTGCAGAGACTTAAAAACAGCATCATGTTTATTCACTGTAGGAAAAGGTGAGCTGAGAAGAGCTGAGGGTCTGGGCCAAGGTGCTAAGGAGCACGCTGGGTCTTCCTGGTGTGGGGAAATGTTTTCTGGAAAGGAGACTGCTTAATGTACATCTACAAAGTGTTTTCTTGTGCTATTTTGTTTTGTAACTTTCAGGGAATTGTTCTCTTTGTAACTGATAAGGTCCAGACTCCTAGGATCTGACTGCTTTCTTCCTGGTCAGCCAGGCTGGGAAACTTCCACCTCATCCCTTCCTTTCCTTCTCTGACATTTAATCAGCATTGAATTAAAATCAGGCATATGGCTCACCCAAGGCAAATGGAAATTAAGATACTGGATTTATAACATGCATAATCCAAACACAGAAAATCTTGCTACCAAAAATAATCATGTCTCTCATCCATTTCCCAAACAGTTCAACTGCCTGCTTCACTTTGCCTTCAAGTTTATCAAGATGAGGCTGAGAATTCTCATAAACTCTTCCAGGACACCCAAAAGGAGTTCCTGTCGACTCACTCAGAGTCCTTTCCCTCCTCTCCCTCAAGCAGTACCCACCTCTTTTCAGGAAGCAATCTCTCTTTTCCATCTGACTTTTCATTAAGAAGCTGGAGTTTTATTTTTCCTTGGCCTCCAATCTGTGCTTTGGATTGTGCCATAAAATTCCTCAGTAATTTATGGCCTATTTTTTCTTTAAAGTGGAAAAGCGCTAATCCCTCACAGAGTAGGGAGACAAGCATTTCCCATGTGAGGTAATCTAGAAACATATCCACTGACCACAGTGAGACAGGCCCTGACTTACAGTTGAAGGCTCATGTAAAGACCCCTAGCTCTTGACACAGAGTATGGCCTCAGAAATAGCTTGATCTCCAGTGAGTACCTGGTTTGAAAGATTCCTCTTGACCCAAAAGTCCATCTTTTCCTGTCAGTGATATCTGAAAATTCCAGAGGTTGCAAAGTTACCCTTCAGATAAAGAAAGGCCTCCTCCACAGCAGTCCTCTAAAGCGCCAGTGTCATATATCTCATTATGGCCATCTACCTCAGTGTAATTGAGTTTATACTCAGCCGAGAGGAACTGAAAAATCCTGGCTGGGCCCCAGGCTTGGAGGGCTCGGAAGTGGAAGGTGTGCGCGTGAAACCTGAAATCAGCCTTTGACCCCTTCACATTTTCGCCACAAGTCAACCCCAACAATCATATTTATATCTTCCCAAGTAGTTTTTTAAAAAATCTTTTCCAATAAACACAAGGAAATGAAATATTGAGATACACCTTCAAAATAGAGTTGATGAGCAGCAAACATTCTGGGTCCAATCAAGCAACAATTGATTTGTGAAGAGAAGGGGCAAGGGTTCAATTGTCCTCGGATAACATTCGCCCTGACCTGACTCAGGGAAGAGGAGAAAGCATGAGCCTGTGTCCTCAGCCAACGTAATTCCATAGGAATGGTCCCTGGAACCGTAACACCGCCTTTGCTACTGTTTTATAAATGTCACTTGCTAAAGACAGAACAAGGATGAACTCCTAGAATATCACTTAGAAAACCCGGCTAATAGGGGCCTTGTTTGCACTTCTATTTTCATGTACTGCACAAACACTCTTTCAGCTAAGCTCTTCTCTCTTCGTTAGTCAAGGGCTTATAAACAACACTTGGAATCCTACTTTAAAAAACTAAGTTTTAGTGTTTATGATAAAAAATATTAACATAAATGGATAATGATTATTTCCTCCTCACCATGTTAGTTCCTCTTGGCCAACAGCCCAAATAGTGGGGGCCAGATTCTAAGACAGTGTTTCCCAAATGACATCAAGAGATACAAGAACTATCCCTAAAAGCATGTTGAACACTCGAATCCATTTGGAAACAGTGCTGGCTCAATTGCCATCCAGAGAACTGATGGAAATTAGCCTATTGAAGGCTGTAAAAAAAGTCATGCAATAAATGTTTAGCTTCATTTACTCTATGGTTTTCCAAATTTACTTGATTATGGCATTCATTTTTGAGTGGATGACCTATTCACTTCTTTCATTGTTTGGAACATATTTTGGGAAACCCTGCTCCAAGGAAAGAGCGACAACTCAAAAGGGAGACTCTACCATTGCAGTAGGCTGATTAAATCACAAAAGCCAACGTATCCTGACACTCCAGAGAGTTCAGAAAGTAGGGGGATCAAAAACAACGTAACCCAAAAAAACAGGACTGAAGGAGTCTTTTTGTTTGTTTCAGACAGAGTCTCACTCTGTCGCCAGGCTAGAGTGCAGTGGCGTGACCTCAGCTCTCTCAGCTCACTGCAACCTTCACCTCCTGTGTATAAGCAATTCTCCTGCCTCAGCCTCCAAAGTAGCTGGGACTACAGGCCCGTACAACCTTGCTGAGCTAATTTTTGTATTTTTTAGTAGAGATGGGGTTTCACCATGTTGGCCAGGATGGTCTCAATCTCTTGACCTCGTGATCTGCGTACCTCGGCCTCCCAAAGTGCTCGGATTACAGGCATGAGCCACCGTGCCCGGCCCCAAGGAGTCTTTAAAGAAAAATCTCTCACCATGATTTTAGGTTTGTTCTTCGTTTTTATTAGAGGCTGGGGCTGGCTCTGTTTGCTCTGCTGCCCAGGCTGGAGTAGAGTGGTGCCATCATAGCTCACCACAGCCTCAAACTCCTGGGCTGAAGCAATCCTGCCTCAGCCTCCTGGAGCAGCTGAGACTACAAACACATGCCACCACACCCAGTTTAAAATCTCTTTTAGAGACTGAGTCTCACTACGTTGCCCAGGCTGGTCTCAAACTCCTGGCCTCAAGCTATCCTCCCACCTCAGCCCTCCCACAGTGCTAGGATTACAGGCGTGAGCCACCGTGCTCAGCCCTTCATGACAGTTTTTACCATCCTCTTGACATGTAAAGACCCTAGGCAAATGGTAATCTCAACCAAATAGACAAGTTTCAGGTTTTATCAGCCCAAAGGGTAGTCTGATTGCTGCAACCTCAGTCAATAGATGAAAAGCAAACTGAAAATAATAATGATAATATTAAATCAGACTCCCTTACTAAAATTTTAGACATATGGCATTAGCATTAACTATCTGACCAGTAAACTGACAGGATGTCTGGCTGCCTGGCTGTCCAGCTGGCTGGCTGGATGGATGGACGGAAGGAAGGAAGGAAGGAAGGATGGATGGATGGATGGATGGATGGATGGATGGATGTAGAGATCAATGGATGGATGGATGGATGGATGGATGGATGAATGGATAGATGGATGAATGGATGGATGGATGGATGAATGGATGGAGAGATGGATGGATGGATGGATGGATGAATTGGTGGGTAGATGGATAGATGGATGGATGGAGAGATGGATGGATGGATGGATGGATGGATGGATGGATAGATGGAGAGATGGATGGATGGATTGATTGATGGGTAGATGGATAGATGGATGGAGAGATGGATGGATGGATGCATAGACAGATGAATAGATGTAGAGATGGATGAATGAATGGATGGATAGATGATGGAAGCATGATGGATGAATGGTGATCAGATGCAGCATGGTATAGCAATGCAAGTACCTTACTAGGAATCAGGAAACCTGCCTGTTTCCTCATATTTTTTCTGTCTCTATTGGATTTTTTTCTTTCTTTTTTTTTTTTGAGACAAGGGGTTTCACTCTGTCACCCAGGCTAGAGTACAGTGGCAGGATCATGGCTCATTGTACCCTTGACCTCCTAGGTGCAAGTGATCCTCCTGCCTCAGCCTCTCAAGTAGCTGAGACCACAGGTGCATGCCACCATGCCTGACTAATTTTACTAATTTTTAAAATGTTTTTGTAGAGTCAGTATCTTGCTATGTTGGCCAGGCTGGTCTTGAACTCCTGACCTCAAGCAATCACCCCGCTTCGGCTTCCCAAAGTGCTTGGATTACAGGTGTGAACCACCAAGCCTGTCCTTTACTGGATTTTTTTTTTTTTACTTTGATCAAGTCACTAAACTTCTAAACTCTTATATTTTTATGTAGAAATGAGGATTTAATGAATATCTGTTATTAGATAGCAGTTTTTACATTTGTTTCAATTGGAGGTAAAATGCTCTATGAACCTTTCCCCTACCTAATCTTCTTTAGGAGAAAGAAAGGGCTAGAAGGGTGGTAGGGGGAGGCAGAGAGGAATGGAAGGGAAAGAAGAAGGTAAAAAAGAAAGAACAAAAGTAGAAATTTTGATTCATTTGATTGCCTTTTTAAATAGAGCTTAAATTCATAAATGGATAATGGAATTAAATGTGTAATGGTATTGATATCAATGCCTTCTAGGCCAGGCCCTATGCCTCCTGTACCTAGTGTGTTTGGGAGACTATATACCTATGCATGTGCAGTAAAAAACCTCTGTCCTAAAAGCCAAGACACCCAGGTGCTCATTCATCTGCCTCCGCCACCAATTCATCATTTAACTTCCCTAGGTCTTGTCCTGAAATGCCAAATTAAGAGGAATATCTTAATTCCTGCTTTGAATATATTCATTACCATAGAAGTTTGATGGGCGAATCAAAAGAAATCAGTACACATTTTTGAATAAATGGATCGTGCAGTCTCCTGAGGGGTGGCACACAAACACCTTATCTTCCAAAGATGCTACATTCCCGATCAGAAGGTGCAAAACTCTCCAGTGCCAGCTGAAGCATGGATAGAGCTGAGGAAACCCCTGGGTATCACAGGGCATGAACTAAGCTCTCTAGCCTTGAGTTTCCAACAGTTCAACCCACGAACCCTGAAGCACCACTATCAGATGTTGAATGCCACTTGCAGGAGTTTCAAGAGATGGGGGCTCTCAGGCCACGGACGGTATTTCCGTCCATCAGGGCACTGCAGCATTCTTTGTCGTCAGAGCCTTGTTTACTGAGGAGCAGTCAGGCAGGTTTCTCAGAACCAGTCTATCTGATCCATCCTTCAAGGCCTCGGTCAAAAGCTACCTCCTCTACAAAGCCTTCATCAGTCTTTCCCTGGGCAATTATAACATATTGCCTTTTATGGAATCATTTGGGCTAGCAAATTTTAAGTTTATTGAGTGTAGGGAACCCTATCTTTACTTTCTTATCTCCATTTTACTGGTACTCATTCAAATTAGATTGAATGAGAAACTGTGTTCTGGGGCAAGTTTCTCAATGTTTTTTTAAACCGGGACTTACAGTAAGAATTAAACTCATACATACTCACATAAATAAAACTGAAATAGGAGTTTTAGAAGGCAATATTTATTCATATTGCATACAAAGCATTCTGCTAATGTCTATATTGTTCAATCTCCATATTTAAATTGTTGTAGAGATTCACACAATTGATTTCATCATCTTTACTGAGGGGTCCTGACCCAGAGTTTGAAAACCAAGAACCTAGACAGGATATGCCTTTATACTCTTTTTCTCATGTCTTTCTCCTTAAAAAAAGAAAAATGGAGTCTGTACAAAAAGCATATTAAACCCTAAACATTCTTAACAGATTTAAATTTGGAAAGAGTCAGATGACGGCTTACTTGCCTAAAATTCAAATCCCATTAGAGAAGGCACGTGGCCGACTTACTGGATGGGGATGTCCATAGAGCCATCTCTTCAGCTAGCAGAGACAAACTACTTAAATAATATTAGTGTGTCACACACACACATATATATATATGACTGATAACTAATAATAGACTTGACTGTCTTGATTATATACATTTTATTTTATTTGTTTTTGAGACCCAGTCTCTCTCTGTCACCCAGGCTGGATTGCAGTGGTGCAATCTCGGCTCCCAGTAACCCTGCCTCCAGGGTTCAAGCAATTCTCATGACTCAGCCCCCCAGATAGCTGGGAACACAGTAGGGCAAGACCTAGTATCTTCCTACTCTCCCTGAAACTGATGTGATCAGTCTTTTCAAGTGGGCATTTCTCCCTTTTTTCATTCCTTGGGGATAAGCACCAAGGCCTCTCTACTGGAGCCCCCACTGTGTCGAGCTCAGTCCAGCCCCAGGCACAGAGCAGAAGCTCCAGCCACACTGCAGGGCAGGAGAACACAGCCCAGCACTGAGGCTGGCCACATGAGGGACTTGTGAAGGAGTGCTCCCTCCAGGTTTTAAAATACATTCCTGATGGGCCTAATTTATTCTCCAGGCGAAAAGGAGGCTTTCTCAGTCTAAAACACTGCTGTAAATCCCACCCACAAGGGGACAACCACATGACTCCATTTTCCTGCTTGTTTCTGAATCACTGTCTTATCTGTCTTCCTCCCCTTTTCCCCTTAAAATAGTTGGCTTTACGGTTGTCTGTGCACAGTCATATGATAAGCAGTGATAAAGAAAAATTTTTAAAGAGCCAAGTAGGAATAAAGAAGCAATGAGAAAGAGACACATTCTCTTATGTGAGGGGGTGGGCTTCTAAGACACCAGTTTCCTAGAAACAAAACCCACAGATTAATTTTAAATCTTCAGCCCCAACAATGTGAAACAGTGAGGCAGACTATTTGGCTAAGAAACCCAAATGTTGCTTAGTGTGATCAGGGACTTGGGGAAATAAGGTCTGAGTCCCATTCTAGTCCCTACCAAGAGGCACCCTTTATCCTCAGTTTCCCCATTTGTAAACTGTATATGATAGGGCCATCCCCCTCCATGAATCCCAAAGTTGTTCATCGCTGTTACTATATGTGTGTGGCATGTTTTTCTTTTCTGATGCATGTTGAATGAGTCTCACAACCCAGTGAGGAAAGCAGGGCCAATGTGACTATTCCCATTTTACACTGAGGAAGCTGAAGCTCAGAGAGGTTTCAGCTTCCTCAAGGTCACAGAGCTTATTAGCAGTGGAGCCGAGATGGTGAAAATGAACTAGCAAACTGTGAATGCAGTACGTTATGAATATATACTAGCCTATAAATGCTTGAAAGTGGGCAGCAAAGACACATTTGGCAACCACAGCCATTTCCTATGTAACTCATTATAAGAGAAGGACCATCTGTCTAGGACACACCCCTGAGATGAAAAGCAACCCCTAACCCCAAATGAGTCTCAGACCTACAGAACTATGAACCAAGTGGATTTTTCAACAATATCATCAGTTCCAAACCACATAATCCACAATTTATATTTTACAAAAGCATTATAATTACAATAGCAAGCATTTTTGTGTGCTTATCACGTGATAAGCACTTTCCTCATGCAGGCTGGAGTGGTGTGATCTCAGTTACTGCAGCTTCTGCCTCCGGGGTTCAAGTGATTCTCCTGCCTCAGCCTCCTGAGTAGCTGAGATTATGGGTGCTGACCACCACGCCCAGCTAATTTTTCTATTTTTAGTACAGACCAGGTTTCTCCATGTTGGCCAGGCTGCTCTCAAACTCCTGACCTCAAGTGGTCCATCCGTCCTGGCTTCCCAAAGTGCTGGGATTACAGGCGTGAGCCGCCGTGCCCAGCTGTGACAAGCACTTTTCTAAGCACTTTCTATGTATTATATTATTTATTTCAAACACAATTAGATAGATAGTACTGAATTTGTTTTACAGTTGAAGAAGCCTAAGAGAGGTTACTCAACTCATTAAAAGGTCACATCGTTGGTTCAGTGGTGGAACCAGCATTAGAATCTGCCGCCCTGTCACATAAAGCCCGTCCACTTCACTGTGGTGCCACCTGCTTCCATATCTGGTGGTTGTGCTGCATCCTTCTTCACTTCTTTTTGAAGTTAAAACTTATATAATAACAGGGGAAACTAGGTGTGGAGGTGAGGGGGTATATGGGAACTCCGCACTTTCTGCCCTATTTTTTTATAAACCTAAAACTGCTCTAAAAAAATTAAGTTAACTAATTTTTAAAAATAATGCTGAAGTAAAAGATAAAAGTCCTCCAAATGTGTTGGCATCCTTTCTTGCCTTTTCCTTTTTTAAAATATATACAGGTGTGTGTGTGTGCATGTAATTTTTTTTACAATACTATACTGTCCTCCGTCATGGAAGAAAGGAGAATAATATCCCAGCGCAAATACCTAAAGGACATCTATTATTTAGATCAATATTATAACTTCATGTTAAAATTTTACCTAACCAGGCTGGGCATGGTGGCTCACGCCTGTAATCCCAGCACTGTGGGAGGCCGAAGTGAGAGGCCAGGAGTTTGAGACCAGCCTGGGCAACACAGTGAGACTCCATCTCTATAAATTTTTTTTTCTTTTTTTTTTTTTTTTTTTTTCTGAGGCAGAGTCTCACTCTGTCGCCCAGGCTGGAGTGCAGTGGCTCTATCTTGGCTCACTACAACCTCTGCCTCCCAGGTCAAGCTATTCTCCCGCCTCAGCCTCCCAAGTATCTGGGATTACGGGCATGCACCACCACGTCCAGCTAATTTTTGTATTTTTAGTAGAGACGGGGTTTTACCATGTTGGCCAGGATGGTCTCAAACTCTTGACATCAGGTGATTCGCCCACTACAGCCTCCCAAAGTGCTGGGATTACAGGTGTGAGCCACCGTGCTGGGCCTCCACAAAAATTTTTTAAATTAGCCAGGCATGGTAGTATGTGCCTATAATTCCAGCTACTTGGGAGGCTGAGGCAAGAGGATCCCTTGAGCCCATGAGTTCGAGGTTGCGGCGAGCTATCATCACACGACTGCACTCTAGCCTGGGCGACAGAGGAAGACCGCCCCCAACTTAAAAAAAATTTTTTTTAAATTTAACCAATCAAGCATCTATTTTGTGCAGAGCAACATGCCAAGCATTAGCCCAAAAAGGTAGGAGTTTTACTCTCGGGAACAGACCTCTTCTGTCTCTGCTAGAGAGCAGACAGAAAATATCAACACTAGGCATCAGTAATTGTAAATGGAAGGCACAAACAGTAAATGTTACCGCAATTCCAAGGGCCAAAAGAGCTGCAGCCTGGAGACTTCTGGGAATGCTCGCCAAAGAGGAGATTTAGATGGCTGCTTAGAGTATTCCAGGGATGGGTATATGGGAGAACAGAACACAAAGGGAGAGAAAGAGGTCGGATATGAAGGTCAGAAACAAGCCCTCAAGCAGAAGGTTCCTACCCTAGAGGATAAGAGATCCACCAGGCGGAAAATGGAAGTGGGGGCAGTGCACACCACACCGGGCCCTGAGTGTCTGGAAGGAGGAGTAGACTTCACCATGTAAGTAACTGGGGCTGGCAGGAGGCAATGGTGGGTTCTGAGCACCCGGAAGGGTATTTAGTGCCATGATCCCCATACAACTCATACACAAATCCCTTGGATTCCAGGGAACCAGACTTAATAAAGTACAAAAACCCCCTCCTAAAGCTGTCTCCATGAATTAGTACTCAGGCGCCTGGAGCTTCAATGGGATATTCTTTTCTAAAATGAAGGAAATATTTTTCAAAGCCAGTTAGGTCGTCACGACCAGGAATTGTGTACCTTCTAAGAACAGAGCGCTGATATTCACTGTTGGGGGAGGAGAGGAAAGGGTCCTATAGGCTAACGGTAGAGAATAAACTTTAAACATTAAGGCAGGAGGCCTCCTCCATGACTCTAGAAGCCCTAGAAAGGGGTCCCTCATCAAAAACGTGTTCCCTACTTATACTAAGGCTGGGATTATTTTAACAAGAGCCTACATTTCCCTCCTCTGCCCTCACAGGGACAAGAGGACACGCAGCCGGGCAGGTTTCATTATTGAGGTTGTGGGAAGCACATGCCTACGTTGCCAGCTTTAGCAAATAAAAATCGAAGCCCAAGCTAAATTTGAATTGCAGATCAACAACAAATACATTTGTCGTATAAGAATGTCCCATGCAATATCTCGGACATATCTATAGAAAAAAAAGTATTCATTGTTTACCTGCAATTCAAATTTAACTGAGCATCCTGTCTTTCCTCTGGCAACTCTGGGCTCAGCACATTTGCAAGAGAAATAGGATGGTGTCCTGAAGAAGCAAAGAAGACAAACAAAGGAGCATGGGTACCAAAGAGAAACTTTTTTTTCATGGTGGGCCAGGCGCAGTGGCTCACGCCTATAATCCCAGCACTTTGGGAGGCGGAGGCAGGCAGATTGCCTGAGCTCAGGAGTTCATGAACAGCCTGGGCAACACGGCAAAACCCCGTCTCTACTGAAAAAAAAAAAAAAAAAAAAAAAGGACCGTGTCCCTGTTGTCCCAGCTACTCGGGAGGCTCGGGCAAGAATTGCTTGAACCCAGGAGGCAGAGGTTGTGGTGAGCCGAGATCGCACCACTACACTACAGCCTGGCAACAGAGCAAGACTCTGTCTCAACAACAACAAAAAGACATGGTGATTCTACAGAAGCTCACTGTTGCTCATCAACCGGGGCACAGAGCTGATGCTTAAATGCCCAAACATTTCACCTACATCTATCTTATTTAATCCTCACAGCAACTTGACAAGCTGCAAAAGATGACTGTTATTAACCCTTTTCACAAATTAGAAAACAGAAGTTTGAGGAGGTTAAGTGATTTTTCTCAAAGTCACAAAGCTACAAAGCAGAAGAACAACACCTCCTGCTCTTGGGTGAATTTTGAACGCTTTAAAGGAACAAAAAGATTTCTATGATTGAAAAGAAGAAGAAAAAGCAATTTCTGAGAACTGATCTTCAGTGAAAGTTAGGTGAACTACTTGCTACGTACATACCCTGTCTCTACTAAAAATACAAAAATTAGCTGGGTGTGGTGGCACACGCCTGTAGTCCTAGCTACTTAGGAGGCTGAGGCAGGAAAATAGCTTGAACCCGGGAGGCAGAGGTTGCAGTGTGCCAAGATTGCACCACTGCACTCTAGCCTGGGCAACAGAGTGAGACTCTGTCTCAAAAAAAAAAAAAAAAAAAAAGGACCAAGTGTGTGGAATTCTAGTTATAGTTCTGCACACTTGGAATTCAGCAAACCCAACTCCTGCTGCTCATTCATTTCCAAGAGGGAGAGACATGAGGACTGGAGAAGGTTTTCCTGACAACCCTTCAGCTGATTATTACTAATAAAATCCCAAAACAGAAGCACAATTTTACCTGCATCTAATAATAAACATTAATCACAGATAATTACCAATAATAGGTAGTTATCATTGATGGAAAACTTGCTATAACATAGCTATTATTCCTATTTTATGGATGAGGAGATGGGTACAGATAGGTCAAATGATTTGCCCAATATGCAGCCAAAACTGATAAAACTAGAAATCAAAGCCAGGACTAACTCCAAAGCCCATCCTACTAGTTTTAGATCCGTGAACTTGGACAAACCACCATCCAATGGCATGAAGGATACTACAAAGTTATTCTCCATCCCTGTAAGACCTATCAATAAACAAACAAAAGAAAATTAATTGGAAATGCAGCATGTGAGATTGTCAGCATAGATTTCCTGGATAATTAAAACTTCAATATATCACGAGTAATTTTGTTCAACACTTTGCTCCAAGCAAAGTTCCTAGAACACAGAAAGTGCTCAATATATATTAGTTGAATGGCTGGTCAGCTAGATGAATGGAGAGATTAATGAATGAACTCCATTCTAATTACTGTTCTCCTTCTTTGGATAGTTTTTGTTTTTTTAATCAAGCAATATTTTTTGGATTGCATTCCTCCTTTAATCTTAACTGGTCTCCTGACTGCCCTCATAACCCCAAACACTAAAAAACTGCCTGTCCAACATTTTCTATGTTCTTCTTCCAATTTACAGGGGCTCCCTTCCCTGTCTATTTAGATACCATTTTCTTCAAGGCCTGGCTCAAAATATTACCAAGAAGCCCCTGCCAGCTAGCAGAACCCACATTAATTCCCAACTCCTTTGAATCCCCACAGTTCTTCAATTTCACTGTTTTATAAAAGGGTGTTAATCTTGATCTTCCAAATGGCCCACTTGAGAAAATCCATTTGTTCTTCTTTCTAATTATCATGTTTTTCAAAATATGTCCACAAAACATGAGTTCTTAATGTTTCCCAAAAAAGAGCATTCTATGATGAAAAATTCTGGGGACATATGTGGTTAAACAGAGGTGTACAACTCACTTTGTGATAGACCATCTTGAGTCTTTCATACACTAATGTGCATTTGATTCTGTAACATTTCCCAACCTCTTTGATCACAGAGACCTGAAAATATCATAAGGTTCCTACTCCTTGAAAGTCAATCTGGCAAACGCTGGTCAAGTATATGCTCCTTCTTAAATGGGTGATTGATGATTCTCTCAGCTACCTAAACTGGTTGAGAAAAGCATCAGTGCAGAAGGTAGGGAGACAGGTTCATACACCTATATTCTAGGAATTCTGCTTGCTTGCTTACGTGTTTTCAGAGTAATCTTTGAGTGGCTTATGACACAGAGAGAGAGCTCCATTTAAGAATTAAATTTATGTTTTTGTGGGCCTTGAACAAAGGTAGATAAAGAAGCAAGCTATCAAAAATAGCTTTGTGACTTTGATCACAACGAAGAAAGGCAAGGAGGGAAAAAAAGCAGAAGCTGGCTCTTTTGCAGGGGAAACAAGGATAAACTTCATGGAGAATAATAAAGACAAAATATTATCACGTGTGAAGGTTAAGCGTAGCCAAGTCCCAGAATGTAGGGTCTGAAGAGCTAACTGGTCCCTTTACAGAGCATCTAGACTATCCTACCTCCTGATTTCACAGCTGGAGAATTAATAGGAGTCACTTGACTCCCTCATTCAATACATTTCCTAGAGAAAGAAAAAAGTATTAGGCAATCCAGCCCTGAAAAGGTATGGTCTGGGTGTCCCCAGCTGCTGAAAAGATTGTGGTAAGCTGTCCTTCTCAGTTGTAATTTTACATACTATATATTTATGTTATTCTTTGAATATAATTGTGTCTCTTAGTAGAGTATATGCTCTCTGAGAGCAACGACTAGCTCTTGACATAGTGGGCATAGTGCCTGGTGTATTCAGTAAATATTTGCTCAGTGAATGAAAGGATGTCCGGAACAATGAATGAATACATTACTCTGCCCACTGCTTTGAATCTTTTGTGAATTCCTTCTTTCTCAGCACGGTACCAAATGATGAACGTCTAAGAGCACAAACTCAGTCAGTCTGATTAAAGAATGCTGTCTATTTGAGCTTCTACAAGACAGACCCCAGAGAGCTAAAGGGGGGTAGAGGGGGACACTTCCTGATCACGAGTTGCTTTTATCTGCCTGGGGAAAGAAGACAAGCAACAAAAGATGCAATAGTCTGAAAAAAAAACAAACAAATCTTTTCAAGAAGGACATAAGCAAAATCAAAGACTGCTTCTCAACAATTAATTCTAGATTCACTCATCATGATTTTTTAAAACTCTTCTTGAAGACAGGCGCAGTGGCTCACTTCTGTAATCCCAGCACTTTGGGAGGCTGAGGTGGGCGGATCACTTGAGGTCAGGAGTTTGAGATCAGCCTGGCCAACACAGTGAAACCCCATCTCTACTAAAAATACAGAAGTTTGTTGGTGTGGTGGCTCTTGCTTGTAATCCCAGCTACCTGGGAGGCTGAGGCAGGAGGATCGCTTGAACCTGGGAGGCAGAGGTTGCAGTGATCCAAGATCGCGCCACTGCACTCCAGCCTGGGCAACAGAGCAAGACACTGACTCAAATTTTAAAAAACTCTTCCTGAGCTTGATTACATTTTTAGTCTTATCTACCTCTTGGGGTCAGGAGCTCACTGAGTCTACTCCTCGCTAGCAAATAAAGGTGACTTTTAAAAGAGCTTAAAATTACCTCTTTCAGACTTCAAGGGGAGGTAGAGAGGACGAGTCGGGGTGGGGAGAGAGGAGATCCTCATTTCGGCATTTGGGTTTTATGACAGGCTTCTGTTTTTCCTCTTCTTCCCCAGCACAGTATTACAGATTTCAGTTATATTTCCTCTGGAGTTTCAATTTTGTTTAGATGTCAATGAGTTACAATGAACTGTATGTTCCTGTTCTCCCAGTTCTCCCAGCACAGTACAGACTTTTGGCCACTTCACATGGTTTCTGCCAGAAAACTAAATTTCAAACAGGTGAAGCCCAGCTGATTAGCATTATAAGAGATTGTAATTACTTAACAAGCATATATATACCCGGAGGAACTTGGAGAGAAATACGGTGTTTTGCCAAGTGTAGCTTTTATTTATGTAAAATACTGCAGGCTTGCTCTGGAGTTCTTTTAGCCTAAGTGAAACCCCTGGAAGCTTTGTCTGAACATGCTTCAATAGCTCTGTGAGTTCAGGCGCTGGAATTTGAAATTTCATTTCTTGTTGCTGCCAACTACAAAGGATTTTGTATCTAAAGCCCAGATGAGAATTTAAACTTCATTTAAACTCTGCAAATGGAGGGGAAGTGGGCCTTTTGCTTCTTCCCTCACCACGGCACCTGGCATGGGCCGTGGGCACCCAGAGGGTAGAAAATTCCTATTTTTAGGAACTTCAGACTTGATGGAGATTCTTCAGCTTGATGCAAACTGCTACATGGAAATAATATAGCATTCTCTCATAAGAACATCTTCAAGGATCTCACAGATTTTTATAAAATAAAATATCCTTCCTCCTCCTCCTCCTTTCTTTCAACCATACAGGATTGTTTAAGAAATTCATTCAGCTGGTTTCTATCAAGATGCCATGGTCCTCAGAGGCAGGAATTATGCATACCCAACTTTTGTTGTACCAAACCCCGTATCTACCAATAGTGCTAGACTGTAGTAGGTACTACAGAAATACACATTTGTTTTGTGTGCAGTCATTCATTCCTTCAACAGTGTGCCAAGAAATTCATTTATTCATTCAACAATTTATTCATTCATTCAACAAAGTGCCAGGCAGTGTTTTAGGTGCCAAGATATAGCAGTAAACAAAAAACAGTAAACATTTTTACAGCATCTGATGTTCTGGTATTAGAGATAAACAACAAAGATAAATATGAAAACTAGGATATAAGATAAAGATAAGAGCTAAAGAAAAAAAAAAGCAGCAAAGGAGCATATAAAGTATAAAAGAAGAAGGTGAACTTTTAGATAGGGTTGCCAGAAATGGCCTTACTGAGAACATAGCATCTGGGCGAAGACTTGAGCTGTGTGGATATCTGGGAAAGGAGCATTCTAGAAAGATGGGATGGCAAGTGTAAAGACTAAGGCAGGAGCATGGTAAGTGCATTTAAAGGGTGCCAAGTGGGTCAGGATAGCTGGAGACGAACGAACAAGGAGAAGAGTAGCAGGTGATGGGGTCAGAGAGGTCACAGCAGAAGGCCTGACTCGGTTGGTCTTGTAAATTATGGTAAGGGATAATCTTACTGAGGCATCGTGAGCAGACACAGGATCTGAGAAGCTGGGACAAGGCTGTTGAAATAATCCAGGTGTGAGATAATAGTGACTTGGGCCCAAGTGGGGTCAGCAGAGGTATAAAAAGGATCTGATTTGGGATATATTTTGAAGGCAGAAACAGCAGATATTGCTGATGTAAAAGATACGGGGAACCTGAGAATGAGAGGTGTCAAGGATGGCCCCTCAAGATTTTTGGCTGGGCAGTTGGAAGGCTGGAGTTGCCATTTCTTAAGCTAAGGAAGAAGGGCTTAGATTGGGGAGAGGGGAAATTAGGTATACAATATTAGGCCTATAGAGTTTGAGATGCCCTTTACACAACGAAAGGTGATGATATGAAGGCAATCCCATACATAAATAAATTCTAGAGTTCAGGGTCAGGTATGAGGTGGAATTAGGAATTTAGTGTGAACAGCATTGAAAATGTATTTAAATCCATGAAGGATGACATTGGCACAGTAAAACCAAAACACCAGCTCCCAAATATCCTCATTTCCAATTACTCATATGCTTCAATAAATAATTAACCTTTGTCTACAACGGCCTCAGTTTCTAGACTTTCCAAAACAATCTCATTTGAAGTAATTCTATTATTTTCAAAAGGGCAATTTGTTAAGCATAACTAAATCAAATGTATTTTTAGACTATGTAAGACTTTTCATATAAATACACTCACAAATCAAGGAGAAAAATATCTTTCACTGGACCATATGTTCTGATTTAATATTCTAAAACTATGAATATACACACATGACTCTTCAAATATTAATAAAGTTGCTGAAATGTATTATGCCCAGACCACCTGCTACAAGCTTTATGGTTCCTTATTTAATTCTCATAGCAACCCCAAAAGTCAAGACCTATGACATTTCCATTTTACAGATGAAGAAACGGGCTGAAAAAGCCTAAGTCACATGCCCAAAATCACATAACTAATGAGTGGTAGAGGCGCCTTACAGTTAGAACTCACTGATTCCAGGGAGAGGGTCCCACTGAGGAGCTAGGGATTGAGCGTCTCAAATATTCACTAAATCTGCTGCTGGTCAAAGACACCAAGAAGAAGAAACAGGACAAACAATCCTTGACTGTCCATGAAGTTGGAGGCTAACTCAGGTCCTTAACTCTAGTGACCCAATGCCAAGAGATTGTCTGTGATCGCACTGGGTCAAGGACAAATCCTTCAAGTAGTTGTGAAACAACCAACTACGTACCAGCAAGAGCAATATTACATGGTAATACAGGAGTAGGGGAAAAGGAGGGCTCCAGGGACCCTCAGCTGCTGGGGAAGAATTCAGGGGAAAGGGGCATATAAAGGAGATACGGACCATTGCCAGTCCCTCCCTACCTCCTTACCCCCTTAGTAGTCCCCTCCCACCCCACTGTGTTTAAATGATAATGGAGGTTTCAGAAATACTTTTAAAAAATTTTTCCCTACAAATGTCCGGAAGATGGAGATGTGCTCTAGGGCTATATGTATCAAAGTGCGGTCATTCAGCAGGCCTGCTTAACTCAGGCTCCATTCAGGGCATCAGAATCAGCACTGCTAGAGGCTGTGCCCTGGTATCTGTGTTGCAAGAATCTCCCCCAAGTGAATTCTGGTGGGCCACGGGAGAACGGCCTCAGAGGTTAACCTCTCCAAATGGTGTATGGGCCTATCTCACAGAGTCCAAACAGGGTATAGGCCTAGCTCCCAGAGTCAGCAGCAGCGCCATCATTTTGCAAAGCTTTGCTGATGCGCTACTTGGGAAATATAAACCAGAAACAACACTTGTAGTGTCCCATTCATTGCCAAATGAGATGGCCAGACTGAAGAGAGCTATTTTGGAGAATCCAGAAACTGGCTTTCTCAGGGCCTATATAATAATGAATGCTGTCAAAAACGCTCTCTAGGTCAGCTCCATGCTCATTTTGGGGGATATAATAATAATTGTAGTAGACATGCATTGAGCAGTTACTAAGGATCAGGCATTGGTCTACGCACTGTAACTGTACACATATTAACCCATTTTAATCTCCACAATCACCCCATTTCATTATAGGGAGGTATATTTATTATCCCCCATTTTGGACAGGGGAAGAAATGGAAATACAGAAGGTTAACAAGGTCTTGAAGATGGTAGGCGGTAGACGTGGGCTTCAAGTCCAGAGCAATCTGGCTCTAGACTTCACCACTCCGGGGAATCGCCTCTCAAAGGATGGCTTTTTCTGTACCTCTGTATTCTGAGTGCCTGTCCTCTTTTTTTTTTTTTTTTTTGAGATGGAATTTTGCTCTTCTTGCCCAGGCTTGAGTGCAATGGCACCATCTCAGCTCACCACAGCCTCCACCTCCCAGGTTCAAGAGATTCTCCTGCCTCAGCCTCCCGAGTAGCTGGCATTACAGGCATGTGCCACCATGCCCAGCTAATTTTATATGTTTAATAGAGACAGGGTTTCTCCACGTTGGTCAGTCTGGTCATGAAGCCTGCCTCTTCTACAGAATATAGCAAGGGAATGTCGCTCACCAAAATTGTCATCAGAGGCAGGGCAGTAGAACAAAGAGGAAACTGAGTTCAGTATGAAGACTACTGAAGCAATGACAGAGCAAAATCCAAAATGTGAATGAGCCAGCCAGCTGTCACCTGCACGCAGCCCTTAAAGCCCCAATCCTTGCCCCACCCGACTTTCACCCCTGTGCTAATGCAATGCCACTCCATCCAGCATTCATTCTGCCTCCGCTTGTAACATGAATCCCAATACTTCTAGTTCACATAATTATTCTTCTAAATCTTTCTTTAAAAGCTATAAAGTTCTACAGTCACATTTCAAGATACATCTATGTACGAATGCTTGATCCATTAATTATCTGGAGCCCTGTCTGCCCTGCAATTTCTATTCTAGCCCAGTGTTTCTCAAAGCAAGCCTCATCTGGTCAGAATCTCTGGGAGAGCTGGTTAAAAATGTAGAGTCCCAGCTTATTCCAAATCGTAGCATCAAAAGCTCTCAAGGTTGGACCAGGGGATCTATATTTTTAACACCTTCCCTTAGTGATTCTTATACACATGAAAGTCTGAGTAGTGTTATTAACTGATTCTTGGAAAACCCAGCTATAGCGATAGTGTTATAATAGATTTTACTTCAAAGCATCAGCAAAATCTTTCCTTCTCTTTGAAATGAGCTTTCTCCAAAGCAACCCCCTTTGTCATCACAACTGAAATGTCTCCCATTATCTGAAGAATAATTATCTCAGCTTGGCTTTTATGCATTCTAGAACCTACCTCAGTTATCTAAACTTTCTCCCACTGCAGAGTTTCAAAAGTATGGGCCCCATATCACTAACGAAGCTCAAAGACACCTGGAATGAACTTCGTTTCTGTATTGTAGAGCCCTGTTTATTTTAATGTGAATAAAGAAAAGTTATAACTATACTCTCCAAACCTGTGATTTCATGAATAGCAGTGCTTAAGAAAACACTAAGTGGAAAAGAAAAGAATCCATTTTTTAACTATTAAGTAAATAAAAGCACAGGCAGTACTCAGATCAATGTCTTACATTTGGGAAACCTTGTCCTGCCCACTCCTTACCAACAGGTACACTCAGTTTCCACCCTGCTGATCCATTCTCCAACCCCTGACCACAGGACTGTCTGCCTTTATTCCTGCAGTGGTCGTGCCAGGAAGCACTGCTCCTTCTTGCAGATACCTCTTTAAATGTAATCTACTGTTTCATGCCCAGCTCATTCACGCCTGCTTCCAAAAGCCCTCCTGAATTCTTCCAGTTCTTCCTACCCTTTTTTTTTTTTTTTTTTTTTTTTTTCCAGAGACAGGATTTCGCTCTGTCACCCAGGCTGAAATATAGTGGCCTGATTGTCAGATCATAGTTTACTGCAGCCTTGAACTCCTGGGCTCAAGTTATCCTGCAACTTCGGCCTCCAGAGTAGACTACAGGCACACACCACACCACAGGAGCAGAGTTGGCTAATTTTTAAGTTTGCTTTAGCTATGGAGTCTTACTCTGTTGCCCAGGCTGATCTTGAACTCCTGGGCTGAAACGATCTTCCCAGCAGCTCCGCCTCCCGAGTAGCTGGGACTGCAAGCATCAGCCACGGTGCCTAGCCCACTCCCTTTTTGAACTCTTAACATACTCATGGTACCACTGGTATGGAACCTAATTGCTACTTAAGTGTCTGTATCAGGAGTGTCCAACCTTTTGGCTTCCCTGGGCCACCCTGGAAGAACTGTCTTGGGACACACATAAAATACACTACCACTAACGATAACTGATAAGGTAAAAAAAACTGCAAAAAAACCCCTCAATGTTTTAAGAAAGTTTACCAATTTGTGTTTGGCAGTATTCAAAGACCATCCTGGGCCACTTGTGGCCCGAGGGCCATGGGTTGGACAAGCTTGATCTATATGTAAGTACTTGGTGTCATTTCCTTAGTGAAATGGAGACCCCTGAGAGTGACCCAGGACCTCATTTTCCTCTGGATTGCCCACAGTGCTAAGCTTCCCTGGTTGGACCTGAATGCAAAATAGAAGCTCCAGGAATACAAGTAAATTGAAAGTGCAGATGAATCCAGTGTTCCGCAGCAATGAGAAGCAGCTGCTTCATGCTATCCACATCCCCTTACTTCAGGCCAGATCTCTTAGCCGCACCTGAGAAGGGTGTGTCTCTTCATTCCTGCCAGGTAAGGAGTGCAGAGACCTGAGCCCAGAGGATTCTACCCAAAGGTACGATGAACCCGTGGGTTTACCCTGAATATTAAGACTGGGAAAGGCGAACTTAGCCCAGCTGCAAATTGCCTCCATTTCTAAAGGCCAGTCACCCCTGCCAATGCATCCCCACCTTCACCCTGGAGGAACCAGAGTGGCCACAGCATCCTCTAGCGAAAACAGATGAGCATTCTGAATCTGTCCCACCACTTGATTCATCCTTGAGACTCTGGGCTTCTCTATCTCAAGTTTTTTAGTTTGTCCAATACCTGCCATACCTAATTCACACTTGCCATAAGGCAAAAGAGATGAAGTTATCAAGCACAATAAAAGTGTCAAGGACACAGCACGCAGATCTGCAGGGAGAACAGGCTGGGAGGCCAGATAGGCAGGCTGGGCTCCCCATCAGACAAGCCGTGGGCAATAGGAGGTGAGGGCCCTACTTCCAGCCCACCTTTGCTTGTCACGTGACCCTAGCTCTCTATCTAGCTTCTCTGGAACTCAATGTCCTCGTCTGTAAAACTTGCCTGTGCACTAGATGATCTGGTCTAGAGCCAAATCCAACATGAATTTGAGAACCTTAGAGGATCATAACCAAACAAGTTCCCACTGCATGCTTCACTAGGAGTGATGAAGGTGGGGACCGTGTCCTAGAGCTCCCAGAGTTTCAGGTGTGCCCAGCAAAGCATCACCAGAGATACGAAGACACTCTCCCTCCAACCAACATCTGTTCTCTCGATAAATGCGGACCTGCTGTTCCTTGTCCCTGCTCTCTGCCCCCCTGTCCAAGCCCCTCATCTGCATACACTGCAAAAAGCCCACATCTCCTAGCTACCAGGGTCAAGTTTTTTCGGTCCCTTTCCTGTCCAAAAACAACAACTCCAAAATCACAGGTTTTCAGTGTCAAGGTCTGCCTCTGAAATAAGTTACCCCTTCCGCTCCCCCTCTCATATGCACTGCTTCCCTGAGGAAAGGGCCCAAAGGCCATGCATGGAAAGGAAATGGGGAATGAGTGGGAGCTCTGCTGTGGAGGCTTAGGGAAGCAGAGATGAGGGACATCTGTGAAGTAGAATGGAATGCCATGGAGTTCCTTGGGATTCCATAAAGGTTTGCCTGCTTTCCAAAGTGCAAACCACAAATCTAGAGTTCTACGCATGTGGCTTGTTGGAGCTTCACTGTGAGACCGTAACCATGGTTTCAGGCAGACTACATCACAGCCATGAGCATAAAAACAAAAGGCTCTCTCCTATTTCTCCCTAAAACTCCGTGTCCTTGAAAAAAATATGTAAGTTGATATGCCAAAGTGATTCATGTGCAACTTCTGACCTTTAGGAGATCCATGAAGTTATCTGGTTTTCAATAAAAAGCAATTGCTCTATACCACTTTTGAGGCTTAGAGAGATCTCTCACTTTTTGTGTAGACCAAAGAACCCTGAAAACATATACATCCAGAGGAACACTTGTACTTGCTCTTGGTGGGAACATGTCACAAACCTGAAAACACAGAAATCCATGTCCTAAATTAACACCTTCCTTTCAAGAAGAGAAAAAAACAAAACAAAACAAAACAAAAACAAAAAAACGAAGATTTGCTTCTCTCTGTCCAAGTGCCAAGGTTGGATGCATTTGGTTTATAGTACATTGAGACAAGGCCTATTTCCAAATCCTTAATAGTTTAACAATGAAATCAATTAACAATTTACTCAATCTCAGACTCAGAAATCGTCTTTTATTGCGCAGTATCTTGACAATCAAAACAGAGAAACAATATAACTTTAAATAAGATTCAAAGCACTGACTTCCAATTACCCACAAGCAGAACCCCTCTTCAAATGCAACATTCATCCTGCATGGATGGGGCAATGAATTGGACAAAACAAGCTCGGCTGATGTTTCTGGGACCGTAGAGGGGACATCCTGGAGGAGGACACTTTTTTTCTACTTGTATGTCAGATGATGAGCTAACCGCCATGCAGAAGAATACAAACACACCAGCTTCCTCCGGGAGGGAAAAATAAAGCAACTCCTCACTCGGCTAAGCAGGACAAAGCCAGGACGTGCAAGAAGGCTTCAGTCAAAGGCTCCACGTGCCTTTCCAAGGACGGAGGGACCCACCCACACACAATCACACACAGCCAGCCCACCACGCGCCTGCGGAAGAAAGCCGGGTCCTCGGCCAACCTTCAGCACCAGCGGCCCAGGCTCTCCCAGTTTGGAAACCTCCCGCAGCACCACCATCTGGAGGGCACAGAGGGGGCAGAGGGCCACATCCTCTTTCCAAGTCTCCTCTTCCTCGTCAATGCCTGTTTCTCCCCAACTACGAAGTGAAGTGTACCTCCCCAAGGAAACTGAGACCTACAGGCATACACACCCCCCAGTCGTCACTGAGTCCCGGAGCCCTACGATCAAGGCCAGCGAATCTTTCCGCGGGACCCCACAACCGGGTTACCGGACCGACGGA